GGCCAGGGTGCGATTTGATGGCCACCAAGGAAAGGTGGTGCTCGGGGCTGGCAGCGCTAGAGGACCCCACGCCCTGGGGCTCAGAGAGAGTGGGGGGAGCCGGGCCGAGGTCATGGGCCATGAGCGGTGGTGGGGACGCAGGCCAGGCCACGGTACTGCTAGGCTGCTGGCTCAACAGGATGTCCCAAAGATAAAACCACAGCAACAGACATGAGACAGGCCAGCTCTTTCTGGGCTTTTTATTTCTTTAAAATAATTCATACAAATGGTTACAGTCACAAACATGATTTTAACCAAAATATTGCTAGCCTACCACATGAGCAGGACGGCACCAGGCGGCTGGACGGCGGGGGGCCGCGGCTTGCACCGCGCTCCTCAACCTGCTGCGATGCCGTCTTCATTTGGAACAAGGGATTCATGCCAAAATTAGGAAAAACAGCCTTGGTTTTGTTCTTCTAAATTATTCTAAAAATAAGAGAAGCGGGTAGAAAACAATGCACGTGTGGCGTGAAGGAAAGCAGGAAGGATTCGTTGTCCTGAGAAGTGGCCAGCGGCCTCGCTCCGGGGCTCGCTCCAAGGTAGAAAGGGAAAAATAACCTCAGACTGACTTGCTGAACTCCCTCAGGTGTTCTTTTTGTTGACAGCTAAGCAAACAAATCCTCTGTAATGTTCTAAAAACTGTACACAGACAAGAACATTCATGATAGAATTAACTACTAACTTCTTTTGCTTAACGAGGAACGCAAAGGACATGGGACAGCGAGGCAGCCCGCGGGGCCGGGCGGGGACTGCAATCGCAGCGGGGCCGCGCTGCCTGCTTCGCGCTGGGGCCAGTCTCTGGAGCGCTGGGCTGCCGCAGGCACCACCGCGGCGCCGAGGGCTCGTGGTGCCCGCCACTGGGCACTGAGGCTGGAAGGCCCCTCCTGGGCTACAACTGGTCACTCGTGTGGTCTCTGTCTGCCTCAGGCTTGACAGCTTGGCCAGGAGATGGGGCGTGGGGGGGGTGGGCCACGGGGGGCAAGCCATGGGACAGGGACATGGCGCTGGGGACGATGCCTTCCACAGCAGCTGGGATGCCCGTGGGGGCCACGCCCACCACGCCCGGGGGGGTACCTGCTGGAAGAGGAGGCGGACATGAGGCCGCGCGAGGAGCACCCTGGCTGGCCCTCACCCCTGCACACGGCCTTTCGCGCGGGCAGCACATCGGCAGCTTGGGACAGGGAGGCTAGGGCACAGGCACCACTGGCCTCAGCAGGGAGGCTGGCCGCCCCCACTGCAAAGACGGCCCCCTGTCCATCTTGTGTCCCCGAGGTCAGGGCTGGCCTGTCCGTCCCCTGCTGAAGACCAGGAAGTAGGCCTGGCTCTCCTCACTCACACGTGGTCCTGGCCCTCGGGCGTCACCCCTGAAGACACGTGCCTGGTCCCGGGGCCCCGCCACACTGGCCCTGGGCTGGGCTGGGGCCTGTGTCCCTCTGCCTGCCCGCTCACCTGTAGGCAGCCCCGTTGAGTTCTGGGTGGACCACCGCAGGGTCCATGCTGGCCCAGTGGGTGGCAGCTGTCAGGTGGTCCTTATTGACACAGTTCTTCAGGCTGTCCGGAATCCGGCCTGAGAGGAGAGCGACACCAGTCAGGACGCAGGCGCCTGGCGTGCCGCCCAGGTACCTGCCCACACTTGGGCCGGCCCCCACACGGGGTCCTAGCCGTCGAGCACAATCTCGAGGACCCCCAGCCACAGCATGCGCCCTGGCCTGCTTGGGAGCTCAGAGCAGTCACGGGGTGCTCTGCGCGGCGCTCTGCATGTTCTGCCTGGGGTCCCCCCAAGCCAGCAGAGGGATTTGGGGTGAGGACAGGGTGGCCCACCTGTGATGGCCCGCCGGATCTCCCTGGCGGCCTCCTCACGCATCTCGATGGACGCCTGCTCACTGTACCAGGCGGCGTGAGGGCTGCAGATGAGGTTGGGTGCGTCCTTCAGAGGGCCCTGGCTAAAGCTGAGGACAGCAGGCGAGGTGGTCAGTGGCCTGATGCCAGCCTGGGACCTGAGGGTACCACCTGTCCTTGGACACAGCAGGCAGGCTGGAGCTCTGAGCAACCAGTCGCAGAAAAGCCCCTGGGGGGGAACAGACCCTAGAGCCTGGGGGGGGGGGGTGAACAGACGCCAGAGCCTGTGGGGGGACAGACGCCAGGCGTGTGGGGACACGGGAGCAGGGACGGGGACAGACGCCAGGCGTGTGGGGACACAGGAGCAGGGACGGGGACAGACGCCAGGCGTGTGGGGACACAGGAGCAGGGACGGGGACAGACGCCAGGCGTGTGTGGACACGGGAGCAGGGACGGGGACAGACGCCAGGCGTGTGTGGACACGGGAGCAGGGACGGGGACAGACGCCAGGCGTGTGTGGACACGGGAGCAGGGACGGGGACAGACGCCAGGCGTGTGTGGACACGGGAGCAGGGAAACGGGGGACAGACGCCAGGCCAGGCGTGGGGACACGGGAGCAGGGACGGGGACAGACGCCAGGCGTGTGTGGACACGGGAGCAGGGACGGGGACAGACGCCAGGCCAGGCGTGTGGACACGGGAGCAGGGACGGGGACAGACGCCAGGCGTGGGGACACGGGAGCAGGGACGGGGACAGACGCCAGGCCAGGCGTGGGGGACACGGGAGCAGGGACGGGGACAGACGCCTGGCATGTGTGGACACGGGAGCAGGGACGGGGACAGACGCCTGGCGTGTGTGGACACGGGAGCAGGGACGGGGACAGACGCCAGGCGTGTGTGGACACGGGAGCAGGGACGGGGACAGACGCCAGGCGTGTGTGGACACGGGAGCAGGGACAGGGACAGACGCCAGGCCAGGCGTGTGGACACGGGAGCAGGGACGGGGACAGACGCCAGGCGTGGGGACACGGGAGCAGGGACGGGGACAGACGCCAGGCGTGGGGACACGGGAGCAGGGACGGGGACAGACGCCAGGCGTGGGGACACGGGAGCAGGGACGGGGACAGACGCCAGGCGTGTGGACACGGGAGCAGGGACAGGGACAGACGCCAGGCGTGGGGACACGGGCGGGAGCAGGGACGGGGACAGACGCCAGGCGTGTGTGGACACGGGAGCAGGGACAGGGACAGACGCCAGGCGTGGGGACACGGGAGCAGGGACGGGGACAGACGCCAGGCGTGGGGACACGGGCGGGAGCAGGGACGGGGACAGACGCCAGGCGTGGGGACACAGGAGCAGGGACGGGGACAGACGCCAGGCCAGGCGTGTGGACACGGGAGCAGGGACGGGGACAGACGCCAGGCGTGTGTGGACACGGGAGCAGGGACGGGGACAGACGCCTGGCATGTGTGGACACGGGAGCAGGGACGGGGACAGACGCCAGGCGTGTGTGGACACGGGCGGGAGCAGGGACGGGGACAGACGCCAGGCGTGTGTGGACACTGGAGCAGGGACGGGGACAGACGCCAGGCGTGTGTGGACACGGGAGCAGGGACGGGGACAGACGCCAGGCGTGTGTGGACACGGGAGCAGGGACGGGGACAGACGCCAGGCGTGTGTGGACACGGGAGCAGGGACGGGGGACAGACGCCAGGCGTGTGTGGACACGGGAGCAGGGACGGGGACAGACGCCAGGCGTGTGTGGACACGGGAGCAGGGATGGGGACAGACGCCAGGCCAGGCGTGTGGACACGGGAGCAGGGACGGGGACAGACGCCAGGCGTGGGGACACGGGAGCAGGGACGGGGACAGACGCCAGGCCAGGCGTGGGGACACGGGAGCAGGGACGGGGACAGACGCCAGGCGTGTGTGGACACGGGAGCAGGGACGGGGACAGACGCCAGGCCAGGCGTGTGGACACGGGAGCAGGGACGGGGACAGACGCCAGGCGTGTGGGGACACGGGAGCAGGGACGGGGACAGACGCCAGGCGTGGGGACACGGGCGGGAGCAGGGACGGGGACAGACGCCAGGCCAGGCGTGTGGACACGGGAGCAGGGACGGGGACAGACGCCAGGCGTGGGGACACGGGAGCAGGGACGGGGACAGACGCCAGGCGTGTGTGGACACGGGAGCAGGGACGGGGACAGACGCCAGGCGTGTGTGGACACGGGAGCAGGGACGGGGACAGACGCCAGGCGTGTGTGGACACGGGAGCAGGGATGGGGACAGACGCCAGGCCAGGCGTGTGGACACGGGAGCAGGGACGGGGACAGACGCCAGGCGTGGGGGACACGGGAGCAGGGACGGGGACAGACGCCAGGCCAGGCGTGGGGACACGGGAGCAGGGACGGGGACAGACGCCAGGCGTGTGGGGACACGGGAGCAGGGACGGGGACAGACGCCAGGCGTGGGGACACGGGCGGGAGCAGGGACGGGGACACGGCGGCACCTGAAGGGCTCTGACTCGTGCACATCCAGGGCCGCGCCACGGATCCGGCCCTCCTTGAGCGCCTGGGCCAGCGCCTTCTCGTCCACCAGGCCCCCGCGCGCCGTGTTCACCAGGAAGGCCCCTTGTCTCATCTGGAAGGCAGCACAGGGTGGAGCGCGCGCAGACTCGGCCCGGGGGGCACGGGATGCGGACTGGGCCCGCGGGGCGGCCCGGGCCGTGGCCAGGTCCTGGGACAGGGTGGACTGGAGGGCGGGGTGGCCCGGGTGCCGGCTGCCCAGCGCCGGTCCTCTACCTGCAGCCGGTGGCGGGCCGCTGGGACTGACGCACGGGGGGGGGGGGGGGGGGGGGGGGGCGTGGGGGCGGGGCCGGGGCATGCCGGGGGCGGGGCGTGTGGGCGGGGCCTGGGGTGGGGGCGTGGCTGGGGCGGGGCGGGGCTGGGGCGGGGCGGGGCGGGCGCGCGCTCGCACCTGCTTGACCGTGAAGTCGTTGATGAGGTGGTGGTTGTGCTCGTTGAGGCCGCAGTGCAGCGTCACGCAGTCGCTGTGGAAGAGCAGGTCCTGCAGCGTGCTCACGCGCTGCAGCCCCAGCGCCCTCTCGATGCCGTCCGACAGGTACGGGTCGTAGAAGAGGACGTTGAAGCCGAAGGCCTTGGCCCGCAGCGCCACTGCCTGCCCCACGCGACCTGCAGAGACAGCCGCCGCCCGGTGACGGCACGCACGCACGCACGCACGCACGCACGCACGCACGCACAGGCCGCCTGCCCCACCGACCTGCAGACAGCCGCCGGTGACGCGCTTACGCACGCACGCACGCACGCACGCACGCACGCACCGCCGCCACCGAATGGTGTCAGGCGGGGCAGCCGGCGGGGCAGCCGGGAGCCAGGCCCCTGACCGGACCGGACCGGATCGGATCCGACCCCACCCCTACCGGACCCCGACTACGATCCGACCCCACCCCGACCCGACCCGACCGGACCCCACCTCGGACCCCTGGGGGACGCTCGAGGCCCACAACGCTTCCAGGCTGAGCTTACTTCCCTGATGAAGTATGAGGTGTGTGGACAGCAAGGATAGCGGCCTGGAGCCGGTCAGCAGCAGCCACCCTCACCTGAGCTGTCCACACCCCTCACCTGAGCCCCCTCCCCTCACCTGAGCCCCCACCCCTCACCTGAGCCCCCACCCCTCACCTGAGCCCCCTCCCCTCACCTGAACCCCCACCCCTCACCTGAGCCCCCACCCCTCACCTGAGCCCCCACCCCTCACCTGAGCCCCCACCCCTCACCTGAACCCCCTCCCCTCACCTGAGCCCCCTCCCCTCACCTGAGCCCCCACCCCTCACCTGAGCCCCCACCCCTCACCTGAGCCCCCTCCCCTCACCTGAGCCCCCACCCCTCACCTGAGCCCCCACCCCTCACCTGAGCCCCCACCCCTCACCTGAGCCCCCTCCCCTCACCTGAGCCCCCACCCCTCACCTGAGCCCCCTCCCCTCACCTGAGCCCCCACCCCTCACCTGAGCCCCCTCCCCTCACCTGAGCCCCCACCCCTCACCTGAGCTGTCCACCCCTCACCTGAACCCCCTCCCCTCACCTGAGCCCCCACCCCTCACCTGAGCCCCCTCCCCTCACCTGAGCCCCCACCCCTCACCTGAGCCCCCTCCCCTCACCTGAGCCCCCTCCCCTCACCTGAGCCCCCTCCCCTCACCTGAGCCCCCACCCCTCACCTGAGCCCCCACCCCTCACCTGAGCCCCCTCCCCTCACCTGAGCCCCCACCCCTCACCTGAGCCCCCTCCCCTCACCTGAGCCCCCTCCCCTCACCTGAGCCCCCTCCCCTCACCTGAGCCCCCACCCCTCACCTGAGCCCCCTCCCCTCACCTGAGCCCCCTCCCCTCACCTGAGCCCCCACCCCTCACCTGAGCCCCCACCCCTCACCTGAGCTGTCCACACCCCTCACCTGAGCCCCCTCCCCTCACCTGAGCCCCCACCCCTCACCTGAACCCCCACCCCTCACCTGAGCCCCCACCCCTCACCTGAGCTGTCCACACCCCTCACCTGAGCCCCCTCCCCTCACCTGAGCCCCCACCCCTCACCTGAGCCCCCACCCCTCACCTGAGCTGTCCACACCCCTCACCTGAGCCCCCACCCCTCACCTGAGCCCCCACCCCTCACCTGAGCCCCCACCCCTCACCTGAACCCCCTCCCCTCACCTGAGCCCCCTCCCCTCACCTGAGCCCCCACCCCTCACCTGAGCCCCCTCCCCTCACCTGAGCCCCCACCCCTCACCTGAGCCCCCACCCCTCACCTGAGCCCCCTCCCCTCACCTGAGCCCCCACCCCTCACCTGAGCCCCCACCCCTCACCTGAGCCCCCTCCCCTCACCTGAGCCCCCACCCCTCACCTGAGCCCCCACCCCTCACCTGAGCCCCCACCCCTCACCTGAGCCCCCTCCCCTCACCTGAGCCCCCACCCCTCACCTGAGCCCCCTCCCCTCACCTGAGCCCCCACCCCTCACCTGAGCTGTCCACCCCTCACCTGAACCCCCTCCCCTCACCTGAGCCCCCACCCCTCACCTGAGCCCCCTCCCCTCACCTGAGCCCCCACCCCTCACCTGAGCCCCCTCCCCTCACCTGAGCCCCCTCCCCTCACCTGAGCCCCCTCCCCTCACCTGAGCCCCCACCCCTCACCTGAGCCCCCACCCCTCACCTGAGCCCCCTCCCCTCACCTGAGCCCCCACCCCTCACCTGAGCCCCCTCCCCTCACCTGAGCCCCCTCCCCTCACCTGAGCCCCCTCCCCTCACCTGAGCCCCCACCCCTCACCTGAGCCCCCTCCCCTCACCTGAGCCCCCACCCCTCACCTGAACCCCCACCCCTCACCTGAGCTGTCCACACCCCTCACCTGAGCCCCCTCCCCTCACCTGAGCCCCCACCCCTCACCTGAGCCCCCTCCCCTCACCTGAGCCCCCTCCCCTCACCTGAGCCCCCTCCCCTCACCTGAGCTGTCCACACCCCTCACCTGAGCCCCCTCCCCTCACCTGAGCCCCCACCCCTCACCTGAGCCCCCACCCCTCACCTGAGCTGTCCACACCCCTCACCTGAACCCCCACCCCTCACCTGAGCTGTCCACACCCCTCACCTGAGCCCCCTCCCCTCACCTGAGCCCCCTCCCCTCACCTGAGCCCCCTCCCCTCACCTGAGCCCCCACCCCTCACCTGAGTCCCCTCCCCTCACCTGAGCTGTCCACACCCCTCACCTGAGCCCCCTCCCCTCACCTGAGCCCCCACCCCTCACCTGAGCCCCCACCCCTCACCTGAGTCCCCACCCCTCACCTGAGCCCCCTCCCCTCACCTGAGCCCCCACCCCTCACCTGAGCCCCCTCCCCTCACCTGAGCCCCCTCCCCTCACCTGAGCCCCCACCCCTCACCTGAGCCCCCACGCCCTCACCTGAACCCCCACCCCTCACCTGAGCTGTCCACACCCCTCACCTGAGCCCCCTCCCCTCACCTGAACCCCCACCCCTCACCTGAGCCCCCTCCCCTCACCTGAGCCCCCACCCCTCACCTGAGCCCCCTCCCCTCACCTGAGCCCCCTCCCCTCACCTCAGCCCCCACCCCTCACCTGAGCCCCCTCCCCTCACCTCAGCCCCCACCCCTCACCTGAGCCCCCTCCCCTCACCTGAGCCCCCTCCCCTCACCTGAACCCCCTCCCCTCACCTGAGCCCCCACCCCTCACCTGAACCCCCACCCCTCACCTGAGCTGTCCACACCCCTCACCTGAGCTGTCCACCCCTCACCTGAGCCCCTCACCTAGGCCGCCCATAGCAGTTGCTTTAGTCTCCATTGTTCTCTATTCTACACAAGGTCTTGCACACCACAAAAAATTGAAGACACATGTAAAGTAGGGAAATAGTAGTAGCTTCTAATTAAAAGAACACAGAAGCTGACAAGCATGAGACCCACAAGTGCCTTCTTCAGACAGGTGCAGATCCACGTGTGTCTCCACACACACGAAGAAGGTGGGGTTCAGGGCTGGAACAGGGCCATCAGGAGGCCAGAGAGCAAAGACAGAAGTCCAGATCCCCAGAAAATACCCACACTACAGCAGAAAGAAAAAACTATTAAAACCTTTTGAAAGAACAAAAGACCAGCTGAGCACAAAAGGATAAAGAGCAGCAGGTGGGAGGGACAGAGTACCGGCCACAGGGCGCCACATGCTACAATCAACAGCCAAACCCAGGCGCTGGCTCCAGGTCAGGACCAAGACAGGACACTGGCAGCTTCTGCCCAGCAATGCTCTGCTCACCACAGGGCAGGCACAAGAAGAGGGCATGACCGCACATGCGGGCAACTCACGGAGCAGTGTGCAGAGAAGACCCAGTAAGATCCTCAGTTGCATTGAAAAAAGCCACTGAAACTCAACCGCAAGCAGCAAATTAGTATGTTTCTAAACACACCTAACAGCCAACTATTAGAAAATAAAATAGGTAATTTGTAACAGCCTTGAAATACGCTATCTGCTTGGTTGTGTGGCTCAGTGGCCAAGTGCTTGACTAGATGGGGGGGTGGGGGACTCACAGTAAATTTAACCAGCTGTGGTCCCTGAACACTGTCCTTAATTCCCTGAACTATTTTTCTTTTGTAATTATAAAACACTTGGAGTGAAGGTGTGGCTCAAGTGGTAGAGCACCAGCCATGAGCAAGAAAGCCAAGCAAGAGCACCAGGATCTCAGTTTAAGCCTTAGTACCAACACAAACCAGCCACTGCTGTATGAAATTCAAGTATGAAGTAACTACATACATGGGCCTGGAGATGCAGCCTTGACAGGCCAGCATCCCAAACACCAGAAGGACTCTGCAAATGCAACGCTGAAGCAGAGCGGCCAGGATAAGCTGGAGAGAGAGGCCGGTGGGCAGAGCTCAGGATGGACCCTCTCTGTAGCAGCTGCTTGAAAAGCGTGCCACGCAAGCTGGGGAGGGCTCTGAAGGGTGCAGATGGTAGCCCCAGCCTCAGGCCAAGTGGAAGCTTCTAGAAGGAAGCAGGGTCTTTATGACTCTGGGGCAGGCAGACTGAGGACACAAAAGGCACCATGCTAGAAATGAGGAAGCAGCTGGACATGGAACGCCTCAGCACTCAGGAGACACATGGACAGAACACACAGCTCAAGGAACCAGAGCCACCTAAAACGGGACGCCTTCCCACCAGGTGCCGGGAGGCCCCCAGCCTGCCTGGCTGCTGAAGCCCGCTGGGAAGGTGTTGGGGCACCGGTGGGGTCTGAGCGCGAAGTCCCGAGAACAGCCAGGCAGCTCCTCCCTGCTCTGCTCGGGCAGCCCATTGCTGGTGTCAGCCCAGGAGATGAGTATCACGTGCCACAGGCAGATGCACTGGCCTTCACGGGGCTCCCTAAATGCTCCCCCTTGACTCAGATGCTCTTTGCTAAGACAAAGACAGACAGGGTCCTAGAACCTCCCCTGTCCTCCAAACCGAGTGCTGGGAACCAGGGGCACGGTGGGAGCCCGGAGCTGATGGGGTGGAGAGACACACGTTTTCCAGTGTGTACTCGGCACGGGAAAAAAAGCAGACAGACAAGAGCAAGGGAAGGGTACGCTGTGGTACTGGAGGCCAGCACAAAGAGAACATGGCTCGTCTGCATTACGGCACACCTACACAGGGTGTGTGGGGCTAACGAAGCACAAGCAGGCAAGGGCCACCCTCAGGGCCCTGGCGGCCGGTGCCTGTCCCCTGCAGGCCAGAGCACGTGGACGGGCTCAGCCAGGACAGGGGAAGGAGAGCCCCGTAGGCAGCCAGGACACAGGGGGACGGGGAGCCCCACGGGGGACGGGGAGCCCCACGGGAGACGGGGAGCCCCACGGGGGACGGGGAGCCCCACGGGGGACGGAGAGCCCCACGGGAGACGGAGAGCCCCACGGGAGACGGGGAGCCCCACGGGGGACGGAGAACCCCACGGGGGACGGGGAGCCCCACGGGAGACGGGGAGCCCCACGGGGGACGGAGAGCCCCACGGGAGACGGAGAGCCCCACGGGGGACGGGGAGCCCCACGGGGGACAGAGAGCCCCACGGGAGGCAGACAGCCCCACGGGGGACGGGGAGCCCCACGGGGGACGGGGAGCCCCACGGGGGACGGGGAGCCCCACGGGGGACAGAGAGCCCCACGGGGGACGGGGAGCCCCACGGGGGACAGAGAGCCCCACGGGAGACAGAGAGCCCCACGGGGGACGGGGAGCCCCACGGGAGACAGAGAGCCCCACGGGGGACAGAGAGCCCCACGGGAGACAGAGAGCCCCACGGGAGACAGAGAGCCCCACGGGAGACAGAGAGCCCCACGGGGGACGGGGAGCCCCACGGGGGACGGGGAGCCCCACGGGGGACGGGGAGCCCCACGGGAGACAGAGAGCCCCACGGGGGACGGGGAGCCCCACGGGGGACGGGGAGCCCCACGGGAGACGGGGAGCCCCACGGGGGACGGGGAGCCCCACGGGAGACAGAGAGCCCCACGGGAGACAGAGAACCCCACGGGAGACGGGGAGCCCCACGGGGGACGGGGAGCCCCACGGGAGACAGAGAGCCCCACGGGAGACAGAGAGCCCCACGGGAGACAGAGAGCCCCACGGGGGACGGGGAGCCCCACGGGGGACGGGGAGCCCCACGGGAGACAGAGAGCCCCACGGGAGGCAGACAGCCCCACAGGGGACAGAGAGCCCCACGGGGGACGCGGAGCCCCACGGGCAGCCAGGGCGCAGTGGCTGTGCCATACTAGGTAGAACAATCTCCTCCCGGTGGAGCTCTGAGCTGACTGTAGCAGGCCACAGAGGGCGTGAAGAGCGGAGCAGAGCGGCCTGCCCTGCAGGCTAGGTGAGGAAGCGGGCCTTGGCCCTGCAGGCTAGGTGAGGAAGCGGGCCTTGGGGCGGCCTGCCCTGCAGGCTAGGTGAGGAAGCGGGCCTTGGGGCAGCCTGCCCTGCAGGCTAGGTGAGGAAGCGGGCCTTGGGGGGCTCCCGTGCGAGGGCGCACCACTGCGCCATCCCTGGGGACGAGGCGTGGCAATGGGACAGGAGAGTGGCTGTCTGCCACAGGCAGGGCCACACCAGCCCGGATCTCAGCCACACACCTGTCCTCCAACTCTTGAACGGACCCTTGGTCTAGGACCCTAAGATGGGAGATGGAGGCCCAGCCTGCAGTGTATAGGGAAGGAGCCTTCCGTGCCCTCGTGTCAAGTGAGAATGTCCAGGGAGTCAGTCCACTCCCACTTGGCCAGCCAGGCTGGGAGCAACGTGTGCTGGGCCAGGCCCCAGACACCCCGCGAGTGGCTGCGCGCCCTGTGTGCTCGCCCACGTGCCCCTCCTGATGTCCGTGTGTGTGCCCTGTGCGCTCGCCCACGTGCCCCTCCTGATGTCCGTGTGTGTGCCCTGTGCGCTCGCCCACGTGCCCCTCCTGATGTCTGTGTGTGTGCCCTGTGCGCTCGCTGGCCCTGTGCACTCGCCCACGTGCCCCTCCTGATGTCTGTGTGTGTGCCCTGTGCGCTCGCTGGCCCTGTGCGCTCGCCCACGTGCCCCTCCTGATGTCCGTGTGTGTGCCCTGTGCTCGCTGGCCCTGTGCTCGCTGGCCCTGTGCTCGCTGGCCCTGTGCTCGCTGGCCCTGTGCTCGCTGGCCCACGTGCCCCTCCTGATGTCCGTGTGTGTGCCCCGTGCTCGCTGGCCCTGTGCGCTCGCCCACGTGCCCCTCCTGATGTCTGTGTGTGTGCCCTGTGCGCTCGCCCACGTGCCCCTCCTGATGTCCGTGTGTGTGCCCTGTGCTCGCTGGCCCTGTGCTCGCTGGCCCTGTGCTCGCTGGCCCTGTGCTCGCTGGCCCTGTGCTCGCTGGCCCTGTGCTCGCTGGCCCTGTGCGCTCGCCCACGTGCCCCTCCTGATGTCCGTGTGTGTGCCCTGTGCGCGCTGGCCCTGTGCTCGCTGGCCCTGTGCTCACTGGCCCTGTGCTCGCTGGCCCTGTGCTCGCTGGCCCTGTGCTCGCTGGCCCTGTGCTCGCTGGCCCTGTGCTCGCTGGCCCTGTGCGCTCGCCCACGTGCCCCTCCTGATGTCCGTGTGTGTGCCCTGTGCGCGCTGGCCCTGTGCGCGCTGGCCCTGTGCTCGCTGGCCCTGTGCTCGCTGGCCCTGCGCTCGCTGGCCCTGTGCTCGCTGGCCCTGTGCTCGCTGGCCCTGTGCTCGCTGGCCCTGTGCACTCGCCCACGTGCCCCTCCTGATGTCCGTGTGTGTGCCCTGTGCTCGCTGGCCCCGTGCGATCGGTCCACACCAGGTGTGTCATCCAGGTGTGATACACATGATGTCTGTGCGTGTGCGTGTGCCATCTACCTGGGATATGTACACACATGCCCACACAGCCGTCCAGGTCATGTGTGACATCTGTGTGTGTCACATGCCATTCACGATGACTGTATACACACCCACAAGTACACTGTCCGTGTGTCATCTGTCACCTATTTCTTGTTGGTCGTGGGGCTTGAACTCTGGGCCTGGGCGCTGTCCCTCAGCTCTTCAGCTCAAGGCTAGCGCTCTACCACTTGAGCCACAGTGCCACTTCCGGTTTTCTGGTGGTTTACTGGAAATAAGAGCCTCATGGACTTTCCTGCCCAGGCTGGCTTTGAACCACAATCCTCAGATCTCAGCCTCCTGAGAAGCTGGGATGACAGGCGTGAGCCCCTGCTGTCTGCTTCTGTCACCCATTTGTGGTGTCTACGTATATGTCTGTGTTTCTGTACACATGGCTCATGGGAGGTGTACGTGTCTATGCTGGACATCGCCTGGCCTCTGTGTGTTCCTGTGTGTGCTCACGTGTTACCTACATGCAGTGTCTATGTGCACACGCGTCTCTATGTGGGCTACCTGCGTGTGACTTGCTGGCGCACGTGTGACACCCAGGGACCATATCCACAGGTACAAAGCACTAGGTCTGGTGCACGTGGCCCGCCCCTTGGCTGTCTGTCCTCTGCCCTCTCCTGGGCTGAGGTGAGGCCAGGCCCAAGCCTCCTGGTGCCCCCAGCCTGGGCTGAGGTCCGCAGCAGCGCAGACGCGGGCTGGGCTGTACGTGCTGAACCATGTGACCAGCCACGCACCTAGTCCGATGATGCCCAGTGTCTCCCCACGGATCCGGGCCGCCCCCGAGGCCACCTCACGGATCTGCTCCACGCTCTGGACACGCGTGCCTTCCCGTAGGGCCTGGTGCAGCCACGTGGTTCGTCGGTACAGGTTGAGGATGTGGCACATGGTGGAGTCGGCCGTTTCCTCCACGGAGGCTGCAGGCACGTTGCAGACAGCGATACCTGGAGGCACAGCACATGTGTGGGGACAGGCGCTGTGCCTGGGCCCCCGGGACAGCCCCCCACCTCGCGTTCCCCTCAGCTGCACCCCCGGGACAGCCCCCCCACCTCGCGTTCCCCTCCGCTGCACCGCCGGGACAGCCCCCCACCTCGCGTTCCCCTCAGCTGCACCCCCGGGACAGCCCCCCCACCTCGCGGTCCCCTCAGCTGCACCCCCGGGACAGCCCCCCCACCTCACGGTCCCCTCAGCTGCACCCCCACCTCGCGGTCCCCTCAGCTGCACCCCCGGGACAGCCCCCCCACCTCGCGGTCCCCTCAGCTGCACCCCCACCTCGCGGTCCCCTCAGCTGCACCCCCGGGACAGCCCCCCACCTCGCGGTCCCCTCAGCTGCACCCCCGGGACAGCCCCCCCACCTCGCGGTCCCCTCAGCTGCACCCCCGGGACAGCCCCCCACCTCGCGGTCCCCTCAGCTGCACCCCCACCTCGCGGTCCCCTCAGCTGCACCCCCGGGACAGCCCCCCACCACCTCGCTTTCCCCTCAGCTGGACCACCGGCCGCTCCACTCTGCCGAGCAGCCAGAGTGGCAGTAGGGAAACTGAACACACGCAAGCACCATAGCTTCCTGCTCTCCAGATCAAGTAGGCTCTGGCAAAGGACTCTGATACCCTAGAGCCCCTGAATCCCTCTTACCACTCCACTGGGATCAAAGCAAGAAGCTAGAGCACGCCAGACAGCACTGATCACCCTGAGCCCCAAGAGAGTCCCAGTTCCCCTATGTGGTAAGGCTAGGTCCCCCTGCCAACTGAACAAAATGACTGCCCTCCTCCCTGCAGCCCCCTCCCCCAGCCTGGAAGGAGCAGAGGCCTCAGGCCCCAGAGCCAGCTGCAGACACTGCAGGTGTGAGCTGCTGTCACACGCATGCATGCACACACACTCAGTATCACCCACATGGCACGGCAGCGTGTGCATGTGCAGACATGTTTGTGTCCACAATGTGATGGCAGCACGTGCCTTAGTGAAGGTGTGTGCAGTGGGCATGTGCCTTGATGTAGGTGCACATGGTGTATGCTAAGTCGGTCATACCTTTATGTGTACGCGTTGAGGCCATACACATCCTGGTATGTCTGGCACCTATGTGGGTATACATATGTATGTACATAGGTAGGTCTGCGCTACATATGTGTGTGGGCATGGCACCTGTGTATGCATGCATATCTCTACACACTTCTTGGGGTCAGGTCTTCAGTGACCTCTCTCATACGCACAGCTCCACTTCTTTTTGTTCTTTGGTAGCCTAGTAGAGATGAGTCTCACAGACTTCCCTCCTGGGCTGGGTTCAAACCATGATCCTCAGCATCCGCCTCATTTGCTGTCCAAGACCACCCGCGGGAGGCTGCTCCCCCTGCTCCCCCTGCTCCCCATCCTCACTGAGGCCTCCAATCACCCCCAGGAGCCCAGAGGCAAGGCAGACCCCAGGAAGACGCCCGAGGTCAGCACCAAACAGCAGGGACGGAGGACTCCTACCTAAATCCCCAGCTGACTTGATGTCGATGTTGTCGAAGCCGCTGCCGATTCTGACAATGATCCGGAGGGCCTTGAACTTCTCCAGGTCTTCCCTGGTAAGCGTGATGGTGTGGTACATCAGAGCGCCCACGGCCTCGTTCAGCACCTGTGGAGAGAGGCCGGCGGCACTGGCGGGGTGGGGGAGGGCCCCACTGGGAGACGCTGGGGCGGGGGAGGGGGTTGCCTGCGAGGCGGGGGCAGACTCGAGCCCTGCACGCAGTGAGCCTGCCCAGGACCACGGCCCCATCCGCGGGACACGCCCACCACACAGGGCAGAGGCTGTTCTGCTGTAGAGACCTGAGAGGTCAAGGAACTGTGAGGAGGTGAGGCGCCCAGGTCTGGGACTGGGGACCAGGAAGTGGAAGCCTCAGCGGGCGGGACGTGGGACTGGGGACCAGGAAGTGGAAGCCTCAGCTGGTAGGATGTGGCCAGGAGAGCCAGGGTCTGTAGACCCAGATGTGCGCCAGCCAGGCCTGACTTGGCAGACAGCTGCTGCCCGTGGCTGGGGCTGGGCCCAGGAGGCCACTCGGGACTGTCAGGAGGAGCGTCGGCGCTGAGTGTGGACTTGCGCACCAATGGGTGCTCCGGGAAGATCCCCAATTGGAGGCCCTTCGTGCGGGCATGGTGTACGTGGCTGTTAACGTGCTGGTAGTGCTGACAGCTGGCCTGGCACTGGGGGGACACCAGGATGGCACGGGGGGTGTCTGGACCTGCAGTGGACAGTGTGATCCACAGTCACAGGAAGACCCCTCTGCCGGACCGTGAGCCAGCCCACGTGGATGGAGATGTGCGGTGTACAGAGCATGAAAGGCCAGGCATCCCAGCAAGCACTGGGCTGGGCCCTGGAGCTGGAGGCAGACTTGGCACTGGACATGAACGAGGCATGCAGCCTGGGCCCCTCACTGAGTGGAGCAGAGGAGGATGGCTGCACACAGCCAGACCCACCCGTGCCTGGGCGGGGTGTGAGCCGGCACGCATGCAGTAGCCTACACCGCGATCCTTGCCTTCACTATGCGGGGGATCCTACAGTGCAGATCTGTACATTCCAGCAGGCGCTTAGAACGAGTTCTTAGAAATGGAGAGTCCACTGTAGAGGCCCTGGCCCTGCGGCTCCAGTGCACAGGCCGGGGGGCATCACAGGGGTCAAGCGGCTTCCCGACACAGCCTGGGAGCTCCCAAGCCCTTCAGCTTTCATTTGGGTGACTTGTGGATCCACGTTTCTTGAACTTTTTCACCAAGAACTTCGTGCTGAGTGTGCCTTTACTAACAGTGCTAGCCAGCGGTGTTCTACGAACAGGAATCTGAGTACGACTGACTGTATCCCACCTGTTGGGTGGAACACAGGCTGCCCTGTACTCAGCCCACAGGGCAGGTCTACTGAGGTAGGCTTTGGCAGACAGCGGGGGCTGCCCAGAGACCTACATCCCCCAGCAGTTCTGTGCACTCTGCTCTCCTTAGTGGTGGCAAAGTGGCTATTTTGCCTGTGCGTGGTGCGTCGCCGTCAGGAAATCTGCAGAAGTTGGTGCAGTTAGACCTCCCAAATCTCACCCTGCACACGCCCACCGGCTGTGTGACTGAGCAGTGCTCCCAGCATACAGCTGGGAGCAGAGTTGCCAGTGTATGCTGAATGCCCAGCCACACTCGGCTTGGCTGGAAACGGACCCTGGTCCAGCAGCAGCTGCTTCTAACCCACTCCTGGCGGGTGACTGGGGGGAAGGGCACAAACCCAGACATCCTGCTCCTCCTCGTCACACGGTGCAGCTCAACCTGCCATCCCAGCTCCCCAGGACACAGCTACCCGCAGGACGCTCGGGCTGTGGACGCAGGCATGCTCCATGGGGCAGTTTAGCTGCCGTGCATCCCGAATGCCATCCTGTGACCCAAGAACCCAGCTCCTCAGCACTGCACCACAGGCCTGGGAGCCACGTCCATGTCCTTGTGTCTGGGACCCAGCGCCCTGGGGCCTCTGCGTGTCCACTCCCAGTGGCAAGGCAGCAGGTCTCAAGGTCTAGAAGGTACTGGGAAGGGCAAGTTCTGGGAAGGAACACCAGATCTGCCCACACAGGGAGGTCTCTGTCGTTAAATGTCTCTCTGGTCCGAGGCACACCTGTCACTTGGTCCTGAGGTTGGCGTCACAGCAGCCTGCCTGTGTCAGAGGTCTCCTCCCCCCAACGCCCCACAGCATGACGGTGTCTTCTTCTGGTGGTGTCAGCAGGTCTGGGTTACTCTCCGGCAGGGTGCCCCGCACCTGGTTCCAGAGCATGGGCCCTTCCCTCCCCACCCCGCCCTCGGGTGGGAGCTGTGCCCCGGCCCGCAGCAGCCAAGTAAGAGTGCGGTGGGAGGCTGCAGACAGCCACCGTGGCAGAAGCGCTGAGGTCTCCGGGCGCCCCGGGTTTCTTCAGCAGGTTCTGCACTGTACTCACGTTCTCTCCATGGTAGCACCCCACTAGCCAGGAGCGCAGGCGAGTTCCCAGTGGCAGGGCACGGCCTTATCACGCCGAAGGCCGGGAGGCTGGAGGCCGCTACCCCCGCCACACAGCCTGTCTGGCTGCTCCACCATGCGCCTGAAGGCCAGGATGGAGGCCGGGGTCTGGGCTCCCCACACATCTTTTTCTAACCAGCAGGAGAGCAGAGGTGATTGTGCACTCACAGAGGAGGTGAGGGAGAGGAGGTGAGGGAGAGGAGGTGAGGGATGGGCGCTCACAGAGGAGGCGAGGGAGAGGAGGTGAGGGAGAGGAGGTGAGGGAGAGGAGGTGAGGGAGAGGAGGTGAGGGAGAGGAGGTGAGGGAGAGGAGGTGAGGGAGGGGCGCTCACAGAGGAGGTGAGGGAGGGGCGCTCACAGAGGAGCTGAGGGAGGGGCGCTCACAGAGGAGGCGAGGGAGAGGAGGCGAGGGAGAGGAGGCGAGGGAGAGGAGGTGAGGGAGAGGAGCTGAGGGAGGGGCGCTCACAGAGGAGCTGAGGGAGAGGCACCCACAGCTTCCCTTGCTAGAGTTCTGGCACTTGGTCACACCCAGAGCTAGAACACTTGGGAACAGGCTTTTCCCAGGACTGGCACCTGGTCAGGTGGGCGGGTATGGAGGGACGGCCAGACGCGTTGGCTGGCCTTCTTCTCGCCCCTGGAGCTCCTGTGTCAGGACTTTCATTGGTCCATTGGTTTCCAAGTGTTCACCGGAACAGAATCGCAGCTGTCCGGGGGTGCAGCTGGACCCGGGACCCTGGATGGCTGTTCCTGACCACAGTGCTGTCCTCGGGGTGGGGAGTGACACCCCAGGGCAGAGAGCATGACCACCAGGATGAGGACCACACCCTGCGCTCTCCTTCCCAGCTTGCTGTTTGTGTGCAGCATACTTTCATCTCTTGAGAATGTTTATTGGTAAAAGTGGTTTTAGTACTGCTTATGAGTTGGAAGTTTCTTTTTCACTTGACGCAGTTTTTTATGACGTTTTCCTTCTCCACTTTTCCCTTATATTCGATGTGCCAGCCACGTAACCAGGTCAATGTCAGTTCGTAGCCAGCACCCATCCCAGACTCAGAGCCGGTGGGCCTCCTTGGCGGCCTCCGCCTCACACCCTGCTGGCCACTTGGCAGCGACGTCTCCCACAGGGCACCTCTTGAGAAGGGCAGCCATGCCCATGCATGGTGCAGAACCATGTGGAAGTGGGCTTTGAGCTCAGTGTGAGGCCAGAGACCCACCGACATGCTACAAGTAGCAGCAGCTTCTTCTGCTGTGGTGCCTGCATGGCCCCTCTCCCCAGAGATCCTGGGCTCTCACTGGACAGACACCAGCACCTTTCCCTGAAGGCCTCTGCTAGGCCTGAGGTTCATTTCTCCAGAACAAGCGTCTTGAGGGTGGTCACTGGTCACACTGGGCCATCTCTCCAGGGAAGCTATGTGCTGGCCTTACAGGCTCTCCGCACTGCACTGGTATGTTTTTTCTACCATTTTGGGAATTCTCCCGTTGCTGGGCCCTTGGATTTTGCCGGCGGCCCTCCTGGCCCTCACCCTCTCTTCCCTGCCTCACCCTCTCCCACACGGCCTCTGGGATGAGACCTCTAAGCCCTTGCCATCCGCTGTGCCTCGACTGGCCGTTAAACAGGCCCACCAACTCTTGCCTTCAGCTTTGCTACTCTAGCTCTGCATTTTTCACCTCTCTCCAGATCTGCAACTTCACCTCACGTGTTTCCAAGTCAGGCTTTTCTCTCTTGCTATGGTGGCTGTGCCAGACTGTGTCCCCCAGCAACCGGGCTTCAACTCCTCGCTCACCTGGCTGCTGGTGCACAGTCCAGGCGGGCGGACATCCTGGGTGGGCCTCCAGGTCTGACGCGGGCATTGCTGGCCGGAGGCAGCCAGTGTGATGGCATGTGGGCCTCAGCCCAGACCCGCAGGGCAGAGGCCTATCCGACGGAGAACTCTGGTATTTTCCAGCTGTGTATCCTTGACCTTTCTCCTTCAGACCTGTCATTCCTCCCAAAGGAGTGAGGACAAGGCCCAGTGGCCAGATCCAGCCCCACTGGCAGATGCTGAGTTTCCTGTGGGTGTAGCCTATGACTGTTCTCACTCTATTGGCTCCTGGAGATTTTGGATGGAGTTTAGATAGGGAACACCAGTTCTCCCACTGCTGGCACTGAGGTGTGACACAGGTAGAGGCCAGGTGAACAAACTGCACATCACCTGCAGATCTGAGGGAACACAAATTGTGGGAGCTTCCCAAGACTGGACTACTGCTCCGGGAGTCGGGGGAGAGGCAGTCCGCCCAGCCTCCATCACCATCAGCGCTCCCTGGTCCCAGTTCCAGAAAGAGCTTGTTAGGACACGGTCAAGAAGCCACAGTGAAACCTATCTTGACCTCCTGCCAGGGCCAGGGGCAACAATAGCAGCATTCCCAAGCTCAGGTGGGGCTTAGACCAGCCACAGCCAGAGGCTGAAGAGTTTGGCCAAGTGTCTTGAGCCAGCTCAGGCTGTGGTCTATGGTAGGACAGCCTACACTCCAGGCCCCTCCCCAAGGCAGGCATGCACAGCCTTACCTTCTCATGGATCTCCTGTGTGGACTGGGCATCACAGAAAGCCACCGTAGCTACGTCCTTTAGGATGGGCATCTCCACTGTGCAGTCCCGGCCATCGAGCAGCGCCACCAGGGGCCGAGGGTGCATGGGCCCATTCATGATGGGGGGTCGGACGCCTGCGGGAGAGGGAGGGGCAGTGAGAGCCGGGCACACTCAGATCACCTCCCGCCACGTAGCAGCCTGTGCAGTGAGAGCCGGGCACGCTCAGATCACCTCCCGCCACGTAGCAGCCTGTGCAGTGAGAGCCGGGCACGCTCAGATCACCTCCCGCCACGTAGCAGCCTCTGCAGAGAGAGCCGACCACGCTCAGATCACCTCCCGCCACGTAGCAGCCTCTGCAGAGAGAGCCGGCCACGCTCAGATCACCTCCCGCCACGTAGCAGCCTCTGCAGAGAGAGCCGGGCACGCTCAGATCACCTCCCGCCACGTAGCAGCCTCTGCAGAGAGAGCCGGCCACGCTCAGATCACCTCCCGCCACGTAGCAGCCTCTGCAGAGAGAGCCGGGCACGCTCAGATCACCTCCCGCCACGTAGCAGCCTGTGGAGTGAGAGCCGGCCACGCTCAGATCACCTCCCGCCACGTAGCAGCCTGTGGAGTGAGAGCCAGCCACGCTCAGATCACCTCCCGCCACGTAGCAGCCTCTGCAGTGAGAGCCGGCCACGCTCAGATCACCTCCCGCCACGTAGCAGCCTGTGCAGAGAGAGCCGGCCACGCTCAGATCACCTCCCGCCACGTAGCAGCCTGTGGAGTGAGAGCCGGCCACGCTCAGATCACCTCCCGCCACGTAGCAGCCTCTGCAGTGAGAGCCGGCCACGCTCAGATCACCTCCCGCCACGTAGCAGCCTGTGCAGTGAGAGCCGGCCACGCTCAGATCACCTCCCGCCACGTAGCAGCCTGTGCAGTGAGAGCCGGCCACGCTCAGATCACCTCCCGCCACGTAGCAGCCTGTGCAGTGAGAGCCGGCCACGCTCAGATCACCTCCCGCCACGTAGCAGCCTCTGCAGAGAGAGCCAGGCACGCTCAGATCACCTCCCGCCACGTAGCAGCCTCTGCAGAGAGAGCCGGCCACACTCAGATCACCTCCCGCCACGTAGCAGCCTCTGCAGAGAGAGCCGGGCACGCTCAGATCACCTCCCGCCACGTAGCAGCCTGTGCAGTGAGAGCCGGGCACGCTCAGATCACCTCCCGCCACGTAGCAGCCTGTGGAGTGAGAGCCAGCCACGCTCAGATCACCTCCCGCCACGTAGCAGCCTGTGCAGTGAGAGCCGGGCACGCTCAGATCACCTCCCGCCACGTAGCAGCCTCTGCAGAGAGAGCCGGGCACGCTCAGATCACCTCCCGCCACGTAGCAGCCTGTGGAGTGAGAGCCGGCCACACTCAGATCACCTCCCGCCACGTAGCAGCCTGTGCAGTGAGAGCCGGCCACGCTCAGATCACCTCCCACAGGGGTGCAGGGATGGGAACTCAGGACTTCCATGTTCATGCAGGTCTTTGAAAACTAAAGTTATCGAGGAAGTCAGGCTGGAACTTGCTATGCTCACTGACAACGAGTAGACACAAATCACCAGCAGTCCCCACCTCCCACTCTGCGTGTGAGGCCTCAGACCCAAGTTTAGCTGTGAAAATGGAAGACGAGGGACAGTAAGCACCTAGGCTCTGGCTCAACCCTGCCAGAGGTCACCCTGTCCTGTGTTAACACAGGCACGGGCAGCCACATGCGCTGGGCTTCAGGGAGGTGCCCCTCACAGCACCACACATCCAACAGCACCTACTGCCAGTGAGACACCATGGAGACGCTCTCCCCCAGTGAGAAAACATGGAGACGCTCTCCTCCAGTGAGACACCATGGAGACGCTCTCCCCCAGTGAGAAAACATGGAGACGCTCTCCTCCAGTGAGACACCATGGAGACGCTCTCCTCCCAATGAGAAAACATGGAGACGCTCTCCCCCAGTGAGACACCATGGAGACGCTCTCCCCCAGTGAGACACCATGGAGACGCTCTCCCCCAGTGAGACACCATGGAGACGCTCTCCCCCAGTGAGACACGATGGAGACGCTCTCCTCCAGTGAGACACCATGGAGACGCTCTCCTCCAGTGAGACACCATGGAGACGCTCTCCTCCAGTGAGACACCATGGAGACGCTCTCCTCCAGTGAGAAAACATGGAGACGCTCTCCCCCAGTGAGACACCATGGAGACGCTCTCCCCCAGTGAGACACCATGGAGACGCTCTCCCCCAGTGAGACACCATGGAGACGCTCTCCCCCAGTGAGACACGATGGAGACGCTCTCCCCCAGTGAGAAAACATGGAGACGCTCTCCCCCAGTGAGACACCATGGAGACGCTCTCCCCCAGTGAGACACCATGGAGACGCTCTCCCCCAGTGAGAAAACATGGAGACGCTCTCCCCCAGTGAGACACCATGGAGACGCTCTCCCCCAGTGAGACACCATGGAGACGCTCTCCTCCAGTGAGACACCATGGAGACGCTCTCCCCCAGTGAGACACCATGGAGACGCTCTCCCCCAGTGAGACACCATGGAGACGCTCTCCCCCAGTGAGACACCATGGAGACGCTCTCCCCCAGTGAGACACCATGGAGACGCTCTCCCCCAGTGAGACACCATGGAGACGCTCTCCCCCAGTGAGACACCATGGAGACGCTCTCCCCCAGTGAGACACCATGGAGACGCTCTCCCCCAGTGAGACACCATGGAGACGCTCTCCTCCAGTGAGACACCATGGAGACGCTCTCCCCCAGTGAGACACCATGGAGACGCTCTCCCCCAGTGAGAAAACATGGAGACGCACTCCCCCAGTGAGACACCATGGAGACGCTCTCCTCCAGTGAGACACCATGGAGACACTCTCCTCCAGTGAGAAAACATGGAGACGCTCTCCCCCAGTGAGAAAACATGGAGACGCTCTCCCCCAGTGAGACACCATGGAGACGCTCTCCCCCAGTGAGACACCATGGAGACACTCTCGCCCAGTGAGACACCATGGAGACGCTCTCCCCCAGTGAGACACCATGGAGACGCTCTCCTCCAGTGAGACACCATGGAGACACTCTCCCCCAGTGAGAAAACATGGAGACGCTCTCCTCCAGTGAGACACCATGGAGACGCTCTCCCCCAGTGAGACACGATGGAGACGCTCTCCCCCAGTGAGACACGATGGAGACGCTCTCCTCCAGTGAGACACCATGGAGACGCTCTCCTCCAGTGAGACACCATGGAGACGCTCTCCCCCAGTGAGACACCATGGAGACGCTCTCCCCCAGTGAGAAAACATGGAGACGCTCTCCTCCAGTGAGACACCATGGAGACGCTCTCCCCCAGTGAGACACGATGGAGACGCTCTCCCACAGTGAGACACCATGGAGACGCTCTCCTCCAGTGAGAAAACATGGAGACGCTCTCCCCCAGTGAGAAAACATGGAGACGCTCTCCCCCAGTGAGACACGACGGAGACGCTCTCTTCCAGTGAGACACCATGGAGACGCTCTCCCCCAGTGAGACACGATGGAGACGCTCTCCCCCAGTGAGACACCATGGAGACGCTCTCCTCCAGTGAGAAAACATGGAGACGCTCTCCCCCAGTGAGACACCATGGAGACGCTCTCCCCCAGTGAGACACCATGGAGACGCTCTCCCCCAGTGAGAAAACATGGAGACGCTCTCCTCCAGTGAGACACCATGGAGACGCTCTCCCCCAGTGAGACACCATGGAGACGCTCTCCCCCAGTGAGAAAACATGGAGACGCTCTCCTCCAGTGAGAAAACATGGAGACGCTCTCCCACAGTGAGACACCATGGAGGCTAGCACTATACAACTTGATCCACAGTACCACCTCTAGCTTGTTCTGTGTGGTACTGAGGAGTCGAATCCAGGGCTTCATGCTAAGCAAGCACTCTACCACTGAGCCACCTTGCCAGCCCAGCTTTAATACCTGTAAGAACATAGACAGTGATAGCCTTTGCCCAGAAAAGCTCCTCTAAGGCCAAGCAAGTCATCACAGGGGTCTGAACTCATCCAAGGGGCTGCCCAGCTGCCTTACCCCAAAATCCCTCTTCCACCTCAGGGCCCCCAGGTGCTTGCTGGCTGGGCCAGGTCCCAGCCACAAGGGAGATGAGAGCCCAGGCCTTGCCCGCACGGTGGTCTCGTGGTGATGCTTCTTGGTCACTGAACAGAGCTGGCCTAGCATCAGGGCCACCCAGAAATGACAGCCCTTTCTCAGTGGAGGAGCCAAGGCTGTGACAAAAGTCCCAGCCAATGTGTAGGTCAGTTTCAGGAGGAGTACTGCGGCCTGGGCTAGGCTTACAGCATTTCCCTGGCCAGGACCTAGGTGACAACAAACTCCTGCTGGCACAAGCAAGGACTGGTTGGCTGAGATTTCAGGAATCCAGATGGCCTACACAAGGCCCCACGACCCCTCTGGCTACCATGGGAGAAGACCTGACCTAAGCCCCCATACCCGGGCCTCTTGGAACACTTCTGGATAGAAATGGTGTCCAAGCACAAAGGCTGAAAAGGCCAACAGGAGCAGCTCACTTCTACTCAGATGAACTATGGACAACTGTGGTGGACCTAAACAACACTGCCTGCTCGGGACAGCCCAGTGATTGCGGGCTACCTCTGTGCATCTGCAGATGGGACAGCGCAGTTTGAGCACACTCTGAACAGCGCAGCTATAAGCACGCGGCCTCTGTGTACAGACAGGACAGCGCAGTTTGAGCACGCTCTGAACAGCGCAGCTATGAGCACGCGGTCTCTGTGTACAGACATGACAGCGCAGTTTGAGCATGCTCTGAACAGCGCAGCTATGAGCACGCGGCCTCTGTGTACAGACGGGACAGCGCAGTTTGAGCACACTCTGAACAACGCAGCTATGAGCACGCGGCCTCTGTGTACAGACAGGACAGCGCAGTTTGAGCACGCTCTGAACAGCGCAGCCATGAGCACGCGGCCTCTGTGTCCACAGACGGGACAGAGCAGTTTGAACACGCTCTGAACAGCGCAGCTATGAGCACGCGGCCTCTGTGTACAGACAGGACAGCGCAGTTTGAGCACACTCTGAACAGCGCAGCTATGAGCACGCGGCCTCTGTGT